GCTCGGGGCAATGCAATTTGTCGCCCACTTGGGGGCCTCAGGGCAATCACAGATCGATCCACCTCGAAAAATCAAGCAGAAGCATGGGGTCAATGGGTGCCCGTGGTGATTTTTACGCTGCTCCGATTTCTTCGCAACATCGGATCTCTTGGTCCACACCCGTTCCTTACAGATAACTCCTGCCTGCACCACCCGACTTGATGGTAAGGCGGGCCAGGCGTTTCGCCTGGCGTCTCAAGCGAAACGCCTGGCCTGGCCCACAAACACGTCTGGTGATGCGACAGGGGGGTGTCACACAAGGAGCAGGAGTGTCGAAGGGAAGAGGAGGGAGGAGGGAGAGGAGGGATGGCAAGCTAGGGGCGCTCGCGCCATATCTGGCATTCACCCTCTCCCATCCGCTAGAGGGTGTCCGAGCTCAATATAATGAATCTGACCCCCCACAAGAGGCTCTGTACAATGGGCGAGAAGGTGGCGGATGGGCAGGAGGAGGGGAAGGGGGATGGGGGATGGGGGAGGAGGAGGAGGAGGAGGAGGAGGAGGAGGAGGAGGAGGAGGAGGAACTGCAGCAGCAGGAGCGGGAGGAACGGGAGGCGCGCGACGACCAGGGAGACGACCTCATAATGAGCATTGCATGCGCTCTCGATTCGCGCATGTCATCCTTGCGCAAGGGCCATGCTAATCTTCCCTGTATCGTTCCAATGTTCACGGATCATCCCACGAGGACCAGGGAGGAGGAGGAGGAGGAGGAGGAGGAGGAGGAGGAGGAGGAGGAGGAGGAGGAGGAGGAGGGAGGAGGACAGGGAGGAGGAGGACAGGGAGGAGGAGGACAGGAGGGAAAGGACAGGGAGGAGGAGGAGGAGGAGGAGGAGGAGGAGGAGGAGGAGGAGGAGGAGTTTTAACCCGCGTGCTCGCGCCCACGAGTGATTGCCCCTGGTCTCGGCACCTCAACCGAGCGCGCTGGCGGCGCGCCCGAGGCGAGGTGGGCCAGCGGCCTCAGCACGTGTCGCCTTTGGCGGCGCGTCTACGAGGCCAGCAGGCTGATGGCTGCTGCCGCGCTCTCGCCTTCCACCGCTGCTCTGGCCGAGGTGCAAGCTGGCCCTTGCTGCGCCTCAGCCCCGCGCCCGGCTCCACGGGGACTGCATCGTGTCCACGAGGCACGTGTCGACGAAGACTTGGCACAGCCGCTCGCCCGTCTCGGCACACTGCGTGAGCCACACCGCGTCCTCGTCGACCTCGTAATCGTCGAAGGTGTGCTCTTCACCTTCGGGGCCCTTGGTCCGCGCCCTGTCGCCTCCGCCGCCGTCCAGGAGCTGTGAGAAGCACGTGACACCATCGTGGAGGTAGACGTCTGGCTGCTGCCACGCACCCTGGTCGTGCACATGCCATCTCCGCACCATCGTCACCGCGGCGTAGACGAGGCGGAGGGTTAGCAGCAGTGCCACTACTGCTATCCATGGACCGTTTCGTGCGCCGAGCTCCTGTTGCGGCTCCCTCGCGCATCTCTGCGCGCGCTGCTTGTGGGTTGGTTGTGCGGCCCCCCACCGCGCCAGGTAGTACCGCACGTCGCTGTAGCTCTTCTCCGCCGCGTAGGTGAAGGGGGGCCTGCCCTGGTGCTCTGTGGAGCTCTGCTGGTTGCCGTGGGCCCCCAGCGCGTACGCGCCCGTGGAGCTCATCTGGCCGCCCCTGATGCTCACCTTCGCCTCGACTATGTGCTGCTGCCTGCCCTGGCCCTCCTCGGAGTCCTGCTGCCGCCCCAAGGTCCCCTGGGCGTCGCCGTCGTTCAGCTGCCGGTCAGCGATGCCCAGCTTGCCCTCCTCGTCGTAAAACTCGTGCTCCTTCGGCAGGACGTCGGGGCCCGAGACCAGGACGGGGAAGGCAGGGACCTGCGCGAGCAAGGGGTTCACGACGCGCTGCTCGCCAGTGGCCGCGCCGAGCTCCACGCACTGCATGCACTGCTCGGCGCCCCCGTAGGCGATCTCGCGCACCTCGTTCACCACCTGCTCGCGGCGCTCCAGCTGCAGCTTCAGCTGCTCCTTCTCCTCGCGCAGCTCCTCCAATTTCTCCTTCTGGCCGTTGGCGGCGCCGCTCTCCTGGTCGCCGCTGCCGTGGTTCTCCGCCTGCTGCCTTCCACCAGGTTCGGCGCCATCGCCCGCCAACCAGACCTCTAGCGCGGCGACAACGGCCTCCCCCTCGCAGGGATGACGCAGGAAGCCGCCAGCCGCATCCAGCGCGCGGCAGCTTCGCTCGAGGGCCGACGGCATGCGCCGCCCTCTGGAGCGGAGCTCGGCGATCCCCTTGGCCAGCGTTGGGGCGCCCAGCATGGCCACCTGCTCGGCCGCTGCCCCCATCAGCGCCTGCGCGCGTTCGCCGAGCGCGGGGCGGGCTGGAGCAGCCTCCTTGGCCAGCGGAGTGGCTGCTGCAGGCTCCGCCTCCGCCGCAGGGCGCGCCGCTTGCAGGAGCAGCAGGAGCTCGGCGGCCTCGCCTACGGTCGCCCTGGTGACGAGCGCTGCGCCATGCCTGACTGACAGGCCTCCGCGCCCGCCTCGCCCCATCATCGCCCGGCCTCCGCGGGCACCCCGGGGGCGGCGCGGCCTCGGCGCTCGCGAGAGCGCCTCCGCTTCAGCCCAAATGGCTACGGAGAGGAGGAGGAGGAGGAGGAGGAGGAGGAGGAGGAGGAGGAGGAGGAGGAGGAGGAGGAGGAGGAGGAGGAGGAGAAGGATGAGGAGGAAGAGGAGGAAGAGGAGGAAGAGGAGGAAGAGGAGGAAGAGGGGTACAGTCCTCGATCTCCCCGCTCCACCCCCCCATTCGGGCCTGCCGGTCCGCCACCACCGACGGCAGCGCCCGCGCAGGCGCCGAGGGCGCCGCCTGTCAGCGGGCTCGCGCGGCATCGCGCGCGGTTCGCGGGGCAGGCTCCGAGAGGCCCCCGCAGCACGGCACGGCCGTCTGCCCATGCCTTTCGCGCTCGTTCCTCCTTTTCAAGAGAGCCCTCGACGCCGTCTTCGGGCCCACGAGGGCCCCATGACGGTCTGGGAGGCCCCCAAGGCTGCCCCTGGAGGCGCGCAGGAGCCACACAGGACGGACCCGAAGGCACCCGAGGGGCCCGCGACGCGCCTGGACTGGCCTCCTCCTCCTCCTCCTCCTCTCCTCCTCCTCCTCCTCCTCCGCCTCCGCCTCCTCCTCCTCCTCCTCCTCCTCCTCCTTCCTCCTCCTGCTCCTCCTCCCTCTCTCCTCCTCCTCCCTCCTCCTCCTCCTCCTCCTCCTCCTCCTCCTCCCTCTCCTCCTCCTCCTCCTCCTCCTCCTCCTCTCCTCCCCCTCCTCCTCCTCCTCCTCCTCCTCCTCCCACCTCCTCCTCCTCCTCTCCTCCTCCTCCTCCTCCTCCTCCTCCTCCTCCTCCTCCTCCTCCCATCATGATGCCTCTGAAGATCCCCCTGAGGGGCCCCAAGCCAATGACGCAGACAGGTTTCACGTCAAGGCTCCCGCCCGCAAACGATCCAGCGACGGCCACAGCTTTGGGCGCAAGGGCTCCCAAGAGCTCCAGTTTACGGGGACCTTTGCTGCAGGCGAGCCTGTGACGTCAACTAGCCTGAACGACGCACAAAACGCGGACGTCTCTCGGGCGGTTGGTAGTGGCCCTAATGTTGGGTGAAGAAAAAAGGCCCCCCATGTCCTCTACCCTCCTCCTCCTCCTCCTCCTCCTCCTCCTCCTCCTCTTCCTCCCCTCCTCCTCCCCTCCTCCTACTCCTCCTCCTCCTCTTCCTCCTCCTCCTCCTCCTCCCATCCTGATGCTCACCACCGTGGGCCTCCCCTGGGATCCTGGTGTCTTAATTCTTTCGAGCCGGGCGATTTCGCCCGGTGTCGGGCCCCGGGACCATCACAGATCGATCCTGTTTGAAACGTGGCGCAGACAGATTGGGTCCGGTGCTTTGGTCGATATGTGTCGCGATGTTGCAATGTGTCGCGAAGTCGGATGTCAGGGGCAAGTACGTACATACGTACATATAGCCTCCATTATATATATGTGTGTGGCCTCATCATCTTCCTCCTCCTCCTCCTGCTCCTCCTGCTCCTCCTCTCTCAACATCTTCTTCCTCCTCCTCCTCCTCCTCCTCCTCCTGCTACCACCCGCCCGAGTCTCAACCACCGCGCGCACCAGCCCCCCCCCAGTTCCGCACGATCCCGCGCCCTCCCGCTCCTCGGCGTGCGCAGCACACTCAGCGCAACTCTCAAGATGCTGATCTGATGCGTCGAGAATGTTCTGCCTGCCTGTCCGGGCCACTGAGTGAGGATTGAAAAAGCGAAAACCCACACCCACCCCCAGTCCCGACGCCCACCCCCGAGCCTGCGATTCAAGGGGTCGGGACTGGAGGTGGGGGTGGGTTTTCTCCATTCCTGGACCCCGAAAAACCACCCCCACCCCCAGTGCCGACCCCCTGGATCGCGGGTTCGAAACTGGGGTCGGGACTGGGGTTGGGGGTGATTCTTCGCCTTCTCAAGAATACCTTGCAAGACTCTTCCACACCACAGTCGGAGAACCCTCCAGGACTCCAGGGGATGAGCGGTGCGAGGTAAGGCTTGGAGTCAAGCTAGGGGACCTGTCTCGCCTGCCTACACCACGAGAGGAAACTGTGTGATATGTGGTTCACGATTTTATCAACACTCGCACGCATGTGCACATACAAGTGCACGCGTGCGCATTCATGTGCCTCTGTGCATGCGTGTGTGCAGGCAGGCACAAGTGTGCGCCTGGTCAACTCAATAATTCAAATTTTCATGTTCCCTCCAATGCTGTGCGTTGACCCTGTCTTTCTTCGGAAAACACTAATTTGGACACGGATAACCCGGAATCCAGAACAACATTGTGCAACATATCCGAACATTGCCCATTACTACCGCTCTTCCAAAATGGAACTTGCATACACAATCATGTCCTTGTTCGCCATGGTCTTGTCGGCAAAGACGGTAGAATCGACGCGGACCTGGTTCGCGTCCTCGGGGGGCACCTCGAGTAGTGGACAGGATGCATGAAAGCGGCGGGGCAAACGTGTAGCCGTAGTGTTGGCAGAAACTTAGTCCACGGGCACGTTCGAAGCCCAGGCGTGCCAACTCAACCATGTCTAAATCAGAACCTGGTCCGATTGCATGCTACTCACTCGTCCGTGCAGTGCTCTCATCCTTCACGGAGCGGTACAGCCCGACTTAATCACAGTGATGGCTGTTGGCCGAAGGATGCCAGGGAGAAAGGGTGCCCTTGGAAAACTGCTTGAAAATATGGTTCCGATGCGACCACAAGCGTACAGGCCTTCCAAATGGTGTCCGAGCAGATGGGGTCGGAGGATCGCGCTGCATCCCCGATGCATCGCCGATGCATCATACGACGTTGGCGATGCGACGGCACGCTGGCGTGAAACAAATATCGGGTTCCACATCGAGCCGCATCGCCGATGCGATGCGGCGAGATCCTCCGACCCCATCTGCTCGGACTCCATCCGGGAGGCCCGGCGGCAAGGGGAGGGCGACTGCGACCGTCTGGGCTTCTTTGATCACCCACCAAGCCACCCCAACCCAACCAGAAGTCGCCGTGCACAGAAGGAGCACCTTTCTTCACCCCCCTCTCCAAGTTATAGCCCCCCCATGACGCAATCGGCGGCGAGCGAGGGAGGGGAAGTGAGGAAGAGAGAGCCCTCTCAGAAGGCGGCGCGGCTCCTCAGAAGCCCTCTGGACTCCTGAGAAATTTCCAGTGTCTTCGGGGAAGGCTCAGACCACTGCTCGAGAGGAAGGACTTCCGAGCCCTCCGAGAGGGCTCGCCGCCTCTCGCTTGCCCCCCAGGCGCGCCGCCGACGCAACGCTTAGGTCGGGCGTGTCCTCCCACAGGCGGATTTTGGACGAACAATAAAGGGTTAACAAAATTTCAGACATGGTCAACGCTAATGAGAAATCGTCACAGTACTTTTTTTTGATTGCTTTTGGCTATTCCTCCTGTAGGAGAACATGCCCGATTCAACGCAACGCCCGAACTGCTTCTTATCCTCAGGAGCCGGGCAGCGCAGGCCGTCGGGGAAGACCACCAGGCGTGGACACATAAAGAACCGCTGTCGCAAGTCCGCGGCAGGGTCGTGCCGCGAGATGCGCTGAACCCGCGGACGACCCTGCCGCGACCCCGACAGTGCACCCCTGCGCTACCTGCCGAGTCACATAGCGCGGTCGCACCTAGCTTGTCCTTCTCCCCTCTTCCTCCGCCCCTCTCCCTCCTCCGCCTCCTCCTCCTCCTCCTCCTCCTACTCCTGTTCCTCCTCCTCCTTTCTGCTCCTCCTCCCCTCTTCTTCCTCTTCCTCTCCTAGCGTACCCCTTTGATCTGCGCTGAACTCCGCCTCCATCCCTGGCGCGCGGAGCCGACGCCGAGGGCAGTCGAGGAACAACAGACGGCATGGATGCACACCGACGTTCGGACTCCCTGGCGCGCGGAGCGCGCCAGGGGCGGCGCTGAAGGCGCGCCTCCAGGGGGGGCCCAGCGCCCAGCGCCGATTCAGGAAATCCGCGCAGACCTTCGAAAGTTCATGCGTACGCATATTCTTATTCCTCGAGGTAACGATCCGACGACGCCAACGACGCCGACGTCGACGTCGATGACGCTGACGACGGCGCCGATGCTGACCACGGCAAAGCCGACGACACGACGGCGCCTACAGCGACGCCGACGGCGGCGACGACGACGACCACAACCACGCTGACGCCGACGGTGATAGAGAGCAGAGAATCATCCTCAGAATAAGCACCCGGACAAGCAAAGCCGTTTAGCAAACGCCCAGGGCCGCTTAGTAAAAGCCAATGGTGGGGTCGGCGTGGTTTTCCCTCTTTTGAGGTAACCTGTATGTATATAATACAACCACCCTCCACTAATGCACATTATCCATTTGGTCAACAATTATTTTCTGCCGAAGGTTTAATGGAGGTTGCCGACACCCAGCGACAATCGGCAAATCCGCCGAGCCTTCGGCGTGTGTGAAAGGCTGTCGTCGCCGTCGTCGTCGCCAGTCCAAAAGAAATTCAGAAACGAACAATAAAAAACGTTGCCGTTAAGTCGATTCCCTCACCTTGACCCCTCCCTGACGGGCAAGGGGGGTTAGAGTGGGGGTACGGGGGGGGGGGGAGGGTAGTGGAAAGGGTTCCGGGTCGAATTGCCCCGGCGCCCCCGCGAGGTCCCGGCGACCCTCCCTTTCGCGCTTGTGGACAAGAAGGACAAGGGGGGGGGGGGGACCCTGCGGGGGGGGGGTCCTGGAGGGAGGTCCCGGGGGAGGGGAGGGTGGTCCTGGCTCAGAATACCGCCCCCCCCCCGAGGTCCAAGCGGGTCCCAGGGGGGGTCGCCAGCGGGGTCCCCGGGGGAGGTCCCGCCTTCAGGGTCGGCAGCACAGACCGTACTTAAGGCGTTAAGGCCTTCACAATAACGATTCCGCCGCCGCCGCCTCCGCCGCCGCTGTCGAGGAGGAACAAGAATTGGAAGCGGAGGAGGAGGAGGAGGAGGAGGAGGAGGAGGAGGAGGACAAAGACAAACACAAGGAGACGCAGAGTCCATTGCCAGCGTCGTCGTAGAATGCCGCCTCTCTCGCGCTGCCCCCCCTGTGCGCGCCGCCAAGGCTGCTCTGGATGGGATACTTCTCAAGGGTAGGGTGATTGACTTTCCGACTGAGCTTGCCCGTTCCCTCCTCCTCACCCTCCCCTCCTCCTCCCCCTCCTCCTCGTCCTCCTTCTCTTCTACCAGCCCCGTGTCCACCCGTGCCGACGGAACGTGCCCAACCTCCCAGCGGATCAAAGGAGGAGGCGATTATTGTCACATACAGGCTACGGAGCTAGAGCCTTCATAGAGGCCTTCTAGATGGGGTCGGAGTAGATGGGGTCGGAAGATCGCGCCGCATCGCCGATACATCGACGATGCATCACCGATGCATCGGCGATGCATCATGCGACGTCGGCGATGCGTCGGCGACGTCGGCGTGGAGAAGATCGGGCTCCACATCGAGCCGCACCGCCGATGCATTGGCGATGCGGCGCGATCCTCCGGCCCCATCCCCAAACCCCCGACGTCATGATTATTTCATAAAGTCGACCCTGAGAGGTCTCGACCCATGCCCCGGGAACGGTTTCTCATCCTGTGACGTTCTTCGACGGCCCCGAGGCCCGGGGAAGGCCTCCAGAGCCCGAAAATGCGGGCAAGCCGCCCGTCGTAACTTTTTGGGCTTCCTGCCCCAGGGGGTCTGGGTTGCCGGGTCCCGGCTTGCGGCGCCCTGGCCTCCGGGGAACCCCGCTGGGGCCACCGGTGGCGGCGGGGGGCGCCTGGGCGGCGTGTGCGCCCAGGGGCCGGCCTGCGGCGTGCCCCCCCCTCCGCGGGCGTCTGCGCGCGGCCGCGTGGCGGGGCGCTCTGCGCGAGCGCCTGGCCGAGCGGCCCGGGGCGCCCGACGAATTCGCGAATTCGCGGCGCCGCGCTCGGGCGCGCGCGCCTCCCCCTCGCCTCCCCCCCCCCTTCCCCGTCCTCCCCAGGCCCCCCGCGGGCAGTGAAGAAGTCACGACGGGAGGTTCTTTCGTACTTCCGGCCTCCTGGAGGCCCTCACCGGCCCTCGGGACCGCCCAAAAAAACGACCCAGGATGAAGAGCTGGTCCCGGGGACTGGGACGAGACCTCTCACAGTCGACGTTTGTGACAAAGCACCATGACGTCGGGGGTCTGGGGTCCGGGCCCCTTCCCCGCCCTCCGCCTCTCGGGTCGGGCGAAAGGGGGGGATATCAAAGGGGGGGTTTGAGAATCACCTCACGTAGCTGATTTTCCCGGCGCCTCCCGGCGCCGGGAGGCGGGAGGCGGCCATGTATCGAGGAATGGCCCCCTCGGTGAGGCCGAAACCAGCTGCATGCAGCAAATTTCGTAACCCCCCCTTTCCCAATCCCCCCCTTTCGCCCGGCCCGAGCCTCCCTGCCCTCCCCTCCGTGCCACAGGGACTTCCTTCGCGCTTGCAAAAAAGCGTGCGCGGCTATGCGGGCTGCGCTGGCGGCGTGCACGGGGCGGCCAGCGGCGGGGACCTGCGGCTGGACAAACGCGTTCCACTGCACGCAAAGCACCTACAGTCGGCCCGACGCGCGACAAGGGTGCAAGGGCCTTGGACGCCCATCTCGAAGCCTCTCGAGCGGGGCGTGGCCAACGAAAGTGGCCAAGGATGGATCGAAGAGGCAAGGATACAAGGGTACCCTTTGGAAAGTCGCCCATCCTTACCATGCGGTCTGACTGTACTCGCAAATCGCCCGGCTCCGCTGGGGAGGATTTACGACCCATGACATCGAGGCATTTTTTTTTCTCTGACCTTTTTGCGAATGGGCACTTTGCGAGTCGTGGAGCGCGCCCAATGAACGGTGGGAGCGTTGGCAACGGAAACCCTCGGGGCATGACAACAATCGGGACGGGAAATTCTTTGCAATTTTCGGTCTCGGGGGGGGCCCTCGCCAGGCCCCGGGATCATCAAAAAACGTCTCGGGATGAACAACTGGTCCTGGGGAATGGGTGGAGACATCTGCGGGTCCGCGTCATGAAAAATCATGGCGACGGGAGTCTGGGATTCAGGTTTTTGCCTAAGTAGGCGCCTTCATCAGACCCTGGAGAATTACTTCTCTGATGACGGCGGCGGTGGTCTTAATGGCCAATCCGCGACTGGAGCTCCACATGCTTTCAGGCCCTTGACTCCTTATCAAATGACTCGTGGTCCAGTGCCCTCGCTGTATCCATGCTGACCACCTGGGATCCTCCTCCTCCTCCTCCTCCTCCTCGTCTTCCTCCTCCTCCTCCTCCTCCTCCTCGTCTTCCTCCGCCTCCACTTCCTCCTCCTTCCAGGTGGCTCTGGCCGTGGCCGAGGGGTCGGCCCGCTTGCCTCAGCCCCCAGCCGTCACCCGTGTTCAGCGGGCGTCGGTGAACATTCCGTTCTCCCCGCCAGAGACCGCTCGGGCGCGATCGCCCGCGTGGCATC